GGCTTGGCTGGGATGTTTTGCCTCACCTTCCTTATTCACCGGCACCCTCCTATTATCATTTGTTCCAGTCGCTGCAAAATTCTCTGAACGGGAAAAACTTTGCTAATAATGAAGCTGTTAAAACGCAACTGGTCAGTTTTTGCCGGTAAACCTCAGACGTTTTATGAATGTGGGATTATGAAATTGGTAAAAAGATGGCAAGAAGTCATAGAAAAGAATGGTCAATACATTATTGATTAGTATATAATTTGTATATTAAATAAATTGTATTTTATACCAGTCAAAAGAACCGAATGAATTTATTTGCCAACCCAATACATAAAGAAATCAATAGAAAATTCATTCAGCATAAAAACAAATATTAAATGTGTTATGTTTATGGTGCATATTCGTTGCAAAGATAGTGATCATGGAAAAAATGTGTCATACAAAGTGATTTCTTGCACCGAGAACAAGGCATTAATTATGGCAGTTTCTCTACAAAAATCACATTTTATTTTATAATCACTTTTAAAAAGTCAACTAGTATTTGAAAGTCTTGATTTATTCTGTATACATCCGCTTTTAAACCACACATATTTAAATAAATTTTTTAACATAGACGACGAAAATTGAAGATGCGTTAATGATTGCAATTTCAAGATATTATTTCTTGTACGAAGATCAATTGCAAGATGTGATATGACAATATCAGAAAAATGTCTAATAAAATTTTTCCATAATCCGAAGCAATATACATCTAATGGCTGTATTTTTCCCGTCGTATCAGCCGGAACTGTTAAGAAAACAATGTTTTCTGCAGAATCTATTCTAGTTTCCGCAATTATATTGGGACAATGTCCACTCCATGAATCCAATAGAAATTCAGATCATAGCCCAACATTCGGAAAAAATACTTCTCTCAGCCAGGTTTTTATATAATCTGATGTCAATTTACCTGACTTTAAAGCCATAACAAAAATATTGGTAGCGATGAATAATTTTTCTTGCACTCTTGGACCAAATGATCCTGTACATTTTATTTAATATGATAAAAAGAGACGACTATAATCTACCATCAGCGGAAATAGTCGGCTGTAAAGCGTAACTATGCGTGCTTGCTGATATAGATTGTACAACAGCTTCTATCTTTTTTATACCTTTGCGACAAGCTACGACTAGAGTGAAATTTTAACTGGAATCCACTCTGATCCGAATTATAAATATTTTCCACTACATATCGATTAATGTAATATTTTACGTTTGTAATAAATTCATCGCATTTATTTTCTAAATATTTTTTTGATAATTATGATTTTTTCGTAACCAATTTTGTAATCTTTCGAATCTTTTCTCTTCTTGCGCTCGAGAAGTATATCGAACGTTGTCAATAATGTGAATAATTATTCTTTTCCCAAATGGTTCATTGAAACGACTTAATATGCATGCAAAAATTCATTTTAATTTCTTAAATCTGCTACTGCTTTCGTTGATTTGGTGTTCCCATCGTCATATGTGTTATTGACGTAACCTTTTTAAACCTTTGATCAACTCTTTCAAGGGATCTTAATTTTGTTTTACTGCTTCTCCAGTACTCTACAACTTATCTTTTATAATCACTCAATATTATTGCTTCAACTAAAAACTGTTGCTTGGAACTAAAAACAACTTTCAGAAGAAATTCTTCATTTTCATATTCATCTGATAAATCAACTTTTTCTACTTCTGGAATTTCATTTGCATTATAAAAATTTAAAGTGTCTACTTCTTCCTAGAAATTCTTTATTATTTTATATTTCTTCTAACACATATTGAATTTTTTCTTTTACTTCAATTTCCTCCGAAGTAATCGGACTTTATGGAAGGTTGAAAGCAGTAAAAATTACATAAAGTAATATTATTACATTATATGCATTAGAGCATCATTAGAGCATCATTCTGAAAAATATTAAAATTATGTATTTGTCATACACACGAACTTTTTGATAATATAAAAAATAATACGCAACTTATAATTAATGAAGTTAGTCTTTTTCAATTAGTCCAGACGCTGCCTTTTTCCCTTCTCTCTTTATTGATGACAAAAATGTGAAGTATAGTTCCAAATAAATTCATTTTCATCAAAACGGAGTAATAATTCTGCGTTTTGTGTTGTGTCGTGAAAATAGAGAGGCAGCTATACAATATAATAGAATAGATATTTTTAAATTTGGAGCAAGTGGAAAAAATTAACATAACCAGTAAGGAATAATTTTAGCAGACGCTGAACCAATTTAGTATATGAAAAGAAGAGAATTACATGAAATGTGGTGAGAAATGTTCGACAAACTTTTGTAATTCGAGTAGTATTNCGTCAATTTAAAAATTATGTAGCCTCTTATATAAAAATATCAATGTTACAAACATTTCACTCTCCTTCGTACCCTTTCCAACGCAATAAATATGTATAATATATAAATTTAAAAAAATGTTTGACACCACATTTGCTTCCATTTTGTTGCAGTGATCTAAATCTCTTTTAAATTTGATTTATTACATTGAAAATTGTGTGCAGAAACTGAAACGTTCATAAAATCGATATTCTTATATAATTGATTTTTACATTATCGTGCCTTTATCCTGTAACTAGCTTTTATAGGCTTAAATTATACTTTTATTGCACGTAATGGAACCTTAATTCACCTTTAAACTTTTATCTAATGATTCTAATTTGATGAACGTGACACTCGAATGTGTCATACATAACACGTTCGTTATATATCTCTTTCAGGAATTAAATTAATCATATGTTGTATTTTCATACTACACGTTCAGTCCCTTGCAAAAATAATAGAATCCGTGTTTTTCTCCTTAACGCATAGCAGCATTATTTTAATTCACCTTGATCTTGTATCGACTTACTTTAAGATTGCAATGAACATAAATTTTACATATATTTCATTCAAGCAATATACATTTAAAAATTCTTTACAAATAGCGACGCCATTACATATATTTCCTACCGTTATTATATATTCAAATTTATCAAATAGCGAATGAAATTTAATACTTTAAAATGTTTCTGCAAATTTATCTGTACTCATGTTTTTATTTCGTGTAACACTGCACAATATATCATGCACAATATATCAATATATAAAGATTAATTCATTTTTACCTTGTAGTATGAGAAAATATGCATAAGCAGTTGTGAAGCATAGATGTAGAAAAATAATACAATGTAATGGTAGCTACCCACTCGCACAGTGCGGCGCCTATAGCATCAATGGTATATTATCATGTCGTTTCCTAAACATTTAATCGTGACTACTTTCTATTATTATTACTATATATAGATGGATTTGGCATATAATGCTGTATAATTTTTGTTGTAATAAAAATTAAAAATTTGCGAAAGTAAGGAGTGGACGAAGCAGATAAAAAAATATGACATAAAAAAAAATTGAATACATTTTTGCAAAGAGTATAAAATACTATAAAATATTTGGTATAAGACATATTTTTATATACTTCGTATTTTAGAAGATATTTGGTAAAAATTAAAAAGTCCACTTCTTTCAAAGAGTTGTTTCAACTTCTGAACGTCGAGATACGCCACTAAACAAAAATGGGTGTTTTATTTTTTTACGCTTTACAACATATCCAAGGCCCATCAAAATCGATGAGATGCTGTTTCGACTCTTCCTTTGTTAGTCTTTTCTGCACTAATCATAAAAATTTACGTATCCCCTACTTCCACGAATATTTATTCTCATTCCTCAAAAATTGACTTTCATTGGTTAGATTTATTTGCCACTCCCTTATAAAATCTTCCCCTATAAAAAACCAATTTTCTTGCCACCTCGGGCATAACAATTTCTTCGGTATTATTATTCGGCCTGTAACTGTTATTTTTTTCGTCATTTCCTCTTGTTCGTTCGACATATTGTGTGCAGTCCTTGTTCTTTGCTCCTCTGCCTGGAGTACTCGAGCCCGTTTTCATAAGTTTCCGTTTATCCAATTCAAGAAGCAATTGAATTTCAAGATTTCGTAATTCGGAACCACATGGCAAGAAACTCAGTAACGACTGGCCAAGCAGTCCGCCAGACTTTTTCATAAAGAACCTCACAGTCATACAAGGTCTATTGTAGTTGCTGTCAGCGTTTACTAAAAGTGAATAACGTCATATTCATCAGTCTATCTTTCTATTATTTGTGGATTAACAAATTCACGGTACCCTCCCCCTCTCTCAGTGCAAACCTTCCAGGAAGTATCTGCGCGTCGGTCTATGCTGACTTATTAAGAGAGATTGTCCTCGAAGACCCAGAATTGGTCCGAAGTAACGTAGTAGAGATATTTAGAAATTTCATTTTGGAAAGCAATTCATCTCCAGATAGTTCATCCCCAGGTCGAGATTATTTCCCATAATTCTCTTTACAACCCTTTTACTCCCCCGAAACCGACGTCGGTTCCAACAATTCACACTCGCAGAAATATATCCCCCCAACTCTCCCTCGCGATCGCCATGAAGTGTACCTCCCGGATCACCAAATCATTCCCCGTGGACTTATTCAAACATCACGGTTCATATCCACTCCCACATTCCCCTCCACCATCACCCTCAAGCCTATTAACGGTTTCCTGTCCTGTCCTACTCGCAATACATTGCCACACACACACACACACACACACACACACACACACACACATGCGCATACACATGATAGGTAAATTCTGCCGATATTATAATAGACATCCCGCTCGTTTATAACTTTCTGCGTCAGACGTTGTTATTCATGTTCTTTGTTTTAATAAACGATGATGTAAATTTCATTTGCTAATCTTGTTGCTATATTAAAATAATCTTCTTCTCTTCCTTCTTAAATAAAATTCGCGTATATGTAATTATGCTAACTTCGTCCTTATATTTTCTCCCCCCTCCCCCCTTATTCTAATTTGCGCTCGCGGTCCCATCCCGGTAAAAGGATTCAGTTCCTTGACCGTAAATAGGATCATCCGTCGTTCGCCATGCGACAGCGTAAAGAATCTGGTCTTTGACATGTTCCGACAACAATCATGCATGTTCGAGACTCGCAATCGCGAGAACGGTGCGTGCATTCTTATCCAGGATATAATAATGTAACTTTTTTCCTAGGACAGAAATGTAGAAAATAAAATGTTTTCAAATTAAAAAATTTATACTTTCCATTAATTTAGATTAGAGGGAAAAATGTATGATCAACATTCAGGAGGTCATAAATCTTTTTCTCTAGAGTAAACTTGTAAAAAATATGAATTTTCTAATTTAAAAATATTTAATTTTTTAGTTTTCACGTTCTCATTCTAGGAGAAAAGTTACACGATCGATACCTTGTTCTAGATATTTCCGATTTCTTACTGATTGATTTAGTTTCTTATCGATCAAAAATAGCAAAACTGAAGATTGTCAAATAAAAACTTTATCTGGAACAAATTGTTATTCTAAGATGGGAAATGAACATGGAAAAAAAATAATTTGAAACAAATTTTTAATCTGTTTTTATAAATAGTATTATATACCCAGATAGCCCAATAACAACAATATACCACCATGGTTCCAATAGAATCGATCACGCATTTGCGGCAGATTCTGATCTACTACGTTCACATAAAGAGTTGTTTTTGCCAACATCATCTGTTAGCACAATGTGACAATAAAAATTCAATAAAATTAAAGCATATCATGCCATCATGACGTGACAGCAAAAACGTGGTAGAAATCGAGAATAATCTACTATGATGACGCAATAACATAAAATGATAGATATTAAATTCGATCTGCTATCATTATCAGCTGTTAAATGCAAAAACGCAGCAGAACATAGCTGAAACACTATTTATATTTCACTTCATATATTTTTGTCATGTTCCTACGTAGATTCGATCTCGAGTGGAGGTCAGCAGTTCACCTATCCACTCCTAGTATGCGCTCTTCTTTAATCTCTATGATTGGTGATATCATTGCTACTAAATCTTATATAATGTACATTTATGTTTCTCCTTGTATATATTTCTTATGTTGACAAAAGTGTTCTCATGTTATATACGAGCATTTTCAGGTAATATTCGGAATTTATATTAATCGATTAATTAATCGATTAAATTGATTAAATCTTCTTCTCTTAACTATTTATAACTTCTTTAATATTGTTTCAACGTTGTAATAACATAAACAATTAATGAAGAAGAATCAATATAATTTATTGCATTTTTGTTCTTAACAAATAATATTTGTTTCATCATTTGCAGCTTTCCGCTCTGCCGCATCAAAATACATTATGCCGACTATCCATTAATATATATTGCTGCATATACATATATTTAATTTATAGTAATTATTTATCACACTTACTCAGAAAAAATAATTATATCAGCTCTAGTGCTGCTATTTTGCATTTTTCAAGTTTATTAATAATTCCTAGAGAAATCAATGACTAATTCTTTGATTCAATAACTATTGCGTCCAATTAAGAAATTATTATTATTATTAATATTTAATTATAAATCGCATTTTTATGTTATTTTTTGCTACTGCGTGACGACAAATTATATTTCAATTCTGCCATGTTTTTGCCTTTAACACTCGATTCTGCAGATCGTGTTCAATATTTGTCATTTCCTTACCGTTGCGTCATGACAGCAGGTGGTGCTCAATTTCTATTGCAACGTCTTGATGGCACAACACCGGGTGCCCTATTAGAATCTGGACAAAATTGAATTCGAAATTTCTGCTCTATTAAAATTTAACTGTAAGTGTCACTTGACGCTAAGGTAGACCAGATACGTGGATAAGACCTTCATTATCTCTGAATAACCGAGTTGACCAGATTAAGGCTGCGGGGTAGTCAGCTAAGAACTTCGCATTGACTTCGTAATGAATGAACATAGTTCAGAACGGCAAAAGGATGAACCAATAGTGCGTATAGCAAACGCTACAAATGCTTCGAAGCATTTCTCTTTTTTCATTTATTTTTCGGGTCCGAATAAAAAAAAGAACGAAAAACTCTTTGAAGCATTTGTAGTGCTTGCTGGATTGCACTTATATACGTGAAGAATGGCATATTAACAGCGAAATTTTGTATTACTTGTCATTTCTTTATTATTTGTTTAATTAATTAATTGTCCAGGTGTGACTTGTGACATACTTGTTAAACTCATAAAAATGAACGAAAACCAAAATTAGCTTGAAATTTTGTACATAGAAGTATATTTTCCATTTCTTTCAATAGCTGTTAAATCGTACGTTTTCCTACATAGAGCCTTATTTCATGTATCTTTTACAGCTATTTATTGACTGTCAGAAGGGAAAAGAGAGTTTTCGTCAATTTTCATAAATGTCTTTAAGCAATCTCCAGTGATGTTTAATTCATATATCTTTTATTTGCAAATGGCAATATTTCTCATCATGTCATTTCTCGTTTATGACGTTGCGAATCTATTATGGCCGTAGCGACTATTCCGGAGCCTTAAACTAGGAATATAACTAGAAGGCGGCAATTATTGAAAGTCTTTGCGCCGAAAGGACGTCGAGTGAAATAATAAGAACAAATTAAATATGGCTCTCGTGACAAAAATCATGGAAATATGAAATGAGGCCAGTAAGAGCCGATGCGGTTGCTGGTACGAATAAATTATCATTATATGGAAGGATAAATATGTTTAACAGTGTCAACGCATGCACAGACTATTTCGTCAGACTTTTCAAACATACGCGGAGAATTTTCCTTTCACGTCAAACAGACCCGGAGGTTTCCAGGTTCGATTCCAGATGGAGGCGTTATTTTTCACAATATTCTTGAGAATCAAATCAAAAGCTTACTTTAATTAACTATTAGTTTGGAAGGATTGGTAGTTAATAAAATTGTCTATAATGGGATACAAGGTCGATTTGACGGAAGGAAAATTCTCTGCGTACGTTTGAAAAGTCTGACGAAACAGTCTGTGCATGCGTTGACACTGTCAAACATATTTATCCTCCCATATAATAACAATTTATACGCACCAACAACTACATCGACTCTTATTAGCCTGTTTTCATATTTCCTTGAAATAATAAGGTTATGTTCCAGATCAACGGTGTACAATGTTGCCTTTAGTTACGCGACCTCAGAAGAAGAAGATCCAAATAAGAGAGAAGGATTCTGGAACTGTAGTCATGCCGCCGCACTTCTTTCAGAAAGAGGAAACGGTCACGAAAAAGATCTATTTGGAAATCCTGAGTACGGTGGTAAAGCCTTGGATGGACACCATGGCCTCAGGAAGGCTGTAAATCTTCCAGCAAGGCGGCGCACTCGCTCATACGAGTCATTTGATATAGAATTGGCTCTCCGCCAACGTCGACATATTCTGGTACGAGGACTTCTAGCCTCCCAATAATTCCGAATTGAACTTCCACGACTACTACATGTAAAACGTAGTCGGAAAAGATACTAACAAATCCAGTCAGCCCAACGTGGCCTCTTTTCGGACCTCCATCGAGATGGTATTTGCGACCATGGACCGGTCCCCATTTGAAAGTGGCGTGTTCGAAATATAACACCCGGATCGAAGAGCGGTGATCGAGACGGCTACATCGAGTGAGAGAAAGGATTCTTTAATTTGAATATTAAAGCATTTCTTTGCATCTTTAACATTGCATAAATTCTTTGCAGCTTTAATGAACAACTTTTCAGATAAAACATTTCCATGTTCTCGGATTCTAACAGCACACCCTGCATATTCAAGTTCTGCTGTATTTCTGCTATTACCTCGTGACGGCACGATATGCTTAAATATTATTAATTTTATGTTAATAAATTTTACTGTATTCTTACAGCAATTTTTCTATTGGGTCTATGCATAATTCCGTATCGAAATTCCGACAGACGTCGTTTGCTGTTGTTTTTCCGCCCGCACATGTGTCAAACACACGTGTCGTACATTAAGTGAAAGCTGAAATTTGTGCCAAGATTTTAAGAAAGTATTCATCGAGATCCGTGACGTATACAAAGTTTAATTGTATTTTGAACATGGAAGGAAAAACATCTATTGTTGGAACATTTCGCTTTTTTATTTCCGAAAAGGCAAAAACGTGTCGCAAACTCACAAAAAGGTATGCGCCGTGTACGAAGAGAATGCCGTAAGCGAAAATGTGGTTCGGAAGTGGTTTGCGAAATTTCGATGAGGAGATTTTGACCTCCACGATGTTCCTCGCTCTGGTCGGCCAGTCACTACTGATGTCGATCAAATCAAGGCTTTAATCGACTCCAACCGGCATTGGACGACTACAGAGATCGGACATAACCTCAACATTGACCAATCAACTGTTTCGAGACATTTACAGAAGCTTGGGATCGAAAACAAACTTGATGTTTGGGTGCCACACAAACTGAGCGAAAGGAATGCAATAGACCAAATTTCAGCTTGCGATTCGCTGCTCAAACGCCATCAAAACGAACCATTTTTAAAGCGGATAATCACTGGCGATAAAAAGTGGATTGTCTACAACAATATTAGTCGAAAAAGATCATAGTCGAAGTGCAGGTAGGCTGCTCAGACGGTCGCAGAGACTGGATTACACCCAAAGAAGGTCATACTCAGTATCTGGTGAGATTGGAATGGAATCGTCTTTTATGAGCTGCTGCCAACAAAACGATTGATTCGACCAAGTACTGCTCACAACTGGCCAAATTAGAGCGAGCAATCGATCAGAAGCGGCTCGAATTGGCGAATAGAAAAGGCATTGTGTTCCACCAGGACAACGCTGGACGTTTCTCTGATGATCTGGTAAAAGTTATTTCGGCTTAGGTGAGATGTTTTGGTGTACCCACCATATAGACCTTGCACCTTCAGACTATCACTTGTTCCGGGCGCTACAGAACAATTCGAGTAACAAACCCTTCAGTTCCCTGGACGTCCTCAAAAACTAATTGGATAATTTCCTTGCCCAAAAATCTCGGAACTCCTATGAAAGAGAGATAATGAAGCGGGTGGAGAGATGGCAGAAAGTCATTGAACAGAATGGAACATATTTAGTTGATTAATATCTTTTTTTTGCTAAATATTTTGCGTTTGAAATTTATTCGATTTTCGCTATGGAATTATGCATTGACCCAATATATATTTTAATTTAGCATATCATGAAGCGACGTTTATTTATTTTTTGCTACATTCTTGCCTACACTAATTAAAAAAGCACATTGTGTTTGATAGCTGCCGGAATTATACCAATATAATATGTAGCACACATGGTGTAATATACGAGGGGGGCCCAAAAAACCGGATTTTTTGTATAAAAACTTTACTTATTAACTTTTTTACAAAATTCCTTCAGTCACCTTCAAAGTACTCTCCATTCGATGCGATGCACTTGTCAAGTTTTTTTTCCCACTGTTTGAACGCTCTCGCACACACGGCCTTACGAGTGACCCATTATTTGGCCTCTCGGAGATGGCCTGTCGTTCCCCACTCTCCGTATTCACCAGACCTAGCCCCGTGCGACTTTTTTCTGTTTCCGAGAATGAAGAAAAATCTAAAAGGGAAGCGTTTTGATGATGGAGGCTGTAAAAACAGCGTTTGGAGGCTGTAAAAACAGCTTCGCAAAGGGCACTGGATGATATCAAAGTTGAAAAGTTCCAGAGATGCTTCAAAGAGTGGGAAAAAAGACTTGACAAGTGCATCGCATCTAATGGAGAGTACTTTGAAGGTGACTGAAGGAATTTTGTAAAAAAGTTCATAAATAAAGTTTTTATACAAAAAATCCGGTTTTTTTGGGATCCCTCCTCGTATATATATATATATATATATGTTCTTGACAGATGTGGTTATGTAGATATAATAAAATGAATCACATATATATCATCAGAAAAATATACCTATTAAGGAAGGTAAAAGTATTATTTATTTAAAAATTCTACAAAAGATTAATAAAAAATATAAATAATTCATACTTCACATATGATAATGTTTCTTAGATGCAAAATTTGATGTTATTAATGAACGGAACCTGTAATAGTCGCTTTTCAGGATTTGTTATTTTCAAGTAAAGTTATCATATAAAATCCTTTCACACATATATTTTTACAACATGGTATACAACAAACAATGATTTTTACCGATTTTAACGACAACACACAAAACATTAATGGAGTTTTCATTTAAGCATAAACTCTCGAAATATTAAATGGACATTCTTCATAGGAAGAATTTCAAAGTGACAATTTAAATGTCATCTTTTAATTAAAAATTCAAACATATTTAGACTCTTATTTGCAGGACTACTTCTTACCGCCTCGGAAGCATGCGGAACTATTTATTGGGTCTACAGCTTAAGGTTCAGCTACTTGTCGAGCGAAATTAATAGTATTCGACCGACTGCGCCTGTGCGGTTCCGAGGCTTATGTGATTATATAGATACCTGATTGACGGCTGCATGGATGTTCTCGGCGCTGTATGTATAACGGGGTGGTCTACTTGTGGTTGCCCTGATCTGCTCGTACAGGGCGCTGGTGCTTGGCGTGCGGCTCAGCCAGGCGCGGTACTCGTCAGACGTGAATACGCTTGGCGAGGATGGTATCCTGCCTGTTGCGATTTATCGATATGATTAGTGCAGCCTGCCGGTTGTGTATTCGCAGATGTATACTCGCAGTAACATAGTTATCACGTCCCTGCTTTAGGACTTACCTCTGTCACGTCGAATGGAAGGCAATTCCGGCGCCGACAGAGCGCCGTCACTGTCCTCTTGATCAATCAGGCCCGATGTAACCGTGCTGAGACCTGACCTAAGACCAGGTTGCTGCGGCAATGTCCGACCACTTCGAGGTAACGAATTTGACCTTAAACCTGCGCAAACCAAAATTACGGTTGAACGCTTTGGTTCGGACAGAATATAGGTGATGAAGAATTTGGCATTAGTACAGAGGAATGGCAGACTAGGTAATATAAACAGATATAATCCGATTCACTGACGGATAGTGACTTTTTGGGGCCTAATGCTAATTCTATTTCAGGGGCTTCTTAACTATTTTATATCATCTTATAACTGAATTCCTACTTTCTAAACTCCTTCAAGTGAAATTTCACTCAAAAAATAGAGCGATCATCAAGTCAAGAATTCCAATTCTTCTTTACTTGTGATAGAGTGAATTCTCCATTCTAAATTATCGAAAGAACATTTTCACTTGAAATTAACTGAATCTGATATATTCTACCATCACAAGAACAAATTCAATTGAATAGATTAAAACTAACGAAAAATTAACTCATAGTATGGAATCAGAATTCACTCTAAAATTGAAATATTCGCTTTTGCAATTTCAAGATGTTTAATCTCACTATCGCTTCAAGAAAATACTTCCGCTTTTCATTCACTTTGAATGAGATTCTACTCCAAGAAATTTAGAGAATACGTTTCGCATATTTTCAGGTTAGTTCTTCATACTCTATATTTCTTTAATATTAAATACAATTTATATTAACTATTTATAGAAATTTATCAAGGGAAACGTTTTAAAAAGAAGACTATTTTGAAACGTCGATTGTCCCATGAAAACGCCGAGGAGAGAGTTTTCGACGAAAAGTTATTAGATTATATAGTATATAATCTAGTATATTCTAGTATAGTAGATTATATAGTATATATAGTATACACAATTTTAACTAAATAATATATACAATATACACAATTTGAACTAAATAGAGAAGAGTTTCTTTTCTGTCGAATCGCTTTCATTTATTTAAGAAATAAAAATTTTTCTTTGAATGACACTTTTCAAAACGATAAAGTTTTATCAATGTGGGAAAACTCAAAAATTATAATTACTTTAAAGTAGATGTATTTTACAACAACTGAGATTGTAATAAACAACTACTGTTAGGCCATTACTAGTGCACTATAGAATATAGACAATTAGAACTTTTACGCTGAAAGGGGATTTCTTCTTGATAGGAGTTGTAATGCTCCAGTATCACTTGTTTCCAAATAAATCCATCACACTGAAATATTTATAAAGCGTTAGAAATAAATTTACAGAAACACGTGACTTCATCCTGGAAAACAAATTCAGCGTGACACTTTTTAATTTTTTAAGGGAGAGAAGCAACTACAAACGTTTATTTGCTCCTATGCAGGTATTTCATTATAATTGAGTAAAAGTTAAATAAGAGGAGAAAAAAGATGGTAGAAGAGAGGTAGAAAATTTGATTTTTCGATTTGAGAAAAGTAATGGGATTATTACTTGACCCCATTACTTTTCTCAAATCGAAAAATCAAATTTTCTACCTCTCTTCTACCATCTTTTTTCTTCTCTTATTTAACTTTTACTCAATGTAATGGGATCATTACTTTTCTCAAATCGAAAAATCAAATTTTCTACCTCTCTTCTACCATCTTTTTTCTCCTCTTATTTAACTTTTACTCAATTATAATGAAATACCTGCATAGGAGCAAATAAACGTTTGTAGTTGCTTCTCTCCCTTAAAAAATTAAAAAATGTCACGCTGAATTTGTTTTCCAGGATGAAGTCACGTGTTTCTGTAAATTTATTTCTAACGCTTTATAAATATTTCAGTTCACTTTATTAAAGAAAGAAGTAATCTAATACCAAGTCACTACTCGGCAAATAATCCTTTATAAATGAATATAATTGACTAAGTACGACGAAAAGTAAAAGAAGGAAGAGAGAAAGTAGGAAAACATTGATTGGTAAATCAAATTTTAATAAATCATTTAGACGGGGATAAGCAAACTGGATTAGAATTTGGTCCGCTTTGTTTATTAAGGTTATCGGGATATTTAAATAAGTTTCTATTGATTCTCTGTATTTTGTAGGGAAACAAACGTTGTATTGTCTATCACCGAGGTAGCTAACAGCGCAAACAAATTCTGAGCAGAGCCTGCTACAAGTTTTTAACATCAGAAAGACACCGCTGCATTGAATTTAACAGAAAGTTGAGTTGAACAGTATATTGTTTTACAAGTTTATACTTCTGCAAATTGAATGATAAAATACACAGTCTATTGCTGTCATCACTTTCGGCTATTAATTGGTACTCGAGATAAATGCTTCTAATTCTCCTAAATTTAACGAAAAACCACTTTCTTCTAGCATTCGTATAGAAATACAATTTAACTTCAAGTTCTCTACATTCATGCCGTTAATATTAATTGATCTTTTATAATATATTTTAATTTCCCGTTTTTTCTCAAACAACTACGGGAGTAGTATGAAAAGTAACTTAGCTCGTGTACTTATAGAAAGCATAAGCAATAACTAAATATGTGATCATATAGTTTCCTTTCTTGTAATAACCCACGTGAAGTTTCACGTCATTCCGCCATTAATTCTTTGTTTGACAGTTATTTCAATACAAACATTTTGAGCGATAGTATCAAAGAAATAAAATTGGAATTCGAGGTATGATTCAATTCCTTTCTTTGGAAGGATAAACAATGAGGAAAATCTATGAGAGGATATTTACTGTATTAGTTGACTCATATATCTAACTCATATCTTTTCTATAAAATTGTTCGGCTGGGTAAACGAATTCAAGCGTGAATAAGTATCGGAGACGCACCACGTTCTTAAGATCCGAGAACAGCTATCACATCACAAACTATTGATAACCATGATATAGTCCGATAGGCAAGTGAAAGTGCGCGAGATAGAAGATGCCATGGACATCTCAACTGAGAGAATTCATTTCATTTTGTACAATAAATTGAATATGAAAAAAATTTCTATAAGATGAATATCGCGTTTGTTCACTGCAGAATAAAAACGTATTCTTATGTGAACATCAGCTGACTGTTTGGAGGTATTTAAAAAGAATTTAATGGATTTCATGCGACGTTTTGTCGATGAAACCATGGATGAAACTTGAATTTATCATTACATGCAAATCAAAAACGTAATCCAAACAGTGAATTGAATGAAATGAAACGGCTCCAAAAGAGGCGAAAACCGCCCGGTGGAAAAGTGATGGAATCAGTTGTTTCAGATGCGAGAGAAATTTGATTCGAATGAAAAGGCGATAGAGACGGTAAACGATTATTTTTGGAAACTCAAAGAAACCCACTCTTGAGAGAGAATTAGAAATTTGAAGAAACGTTAAGAGAAGTGTATTGAGTTTCGAGGAGATTGTGGTACAAAATAAGGTACTTTATAAAATCAAAATGGTTGTTCTTATTATCAAACCAAATTATTCTTCAAACTACACTCGCAGTTCTTTTTTGAGATGGAGAATCTTCCTAGGAGGCCAAACCTACAAAAACAGATTTTAAACAAAGTCTGTTACAATTTTTAATGGCAGAAAGGCAACAAATTTAACACAGAATCTGTTCTATTGGGTGAGTGCAAAAGTTCGTGCGGAGGTGCAATAGATGGCG